GCGGCCCCTGCTCGGCTCCCGCAGCCGTGGCCCCCACCTGGGCCGTAGCCCGGAGAAGCAGGGCAGCTGCAGGAGCCGGCAGAGGCGGTGCCGGCTGCCGGAGGGCGCTGCTCGAGACTGCGGAAGGTAAGCGTGGTCACTGCCCCCGGCCCGGCCGCAACTTACTTTGTTTGCAGAGTTGCGGGCGCGGCGGGTGGGTGCGCCGCCAGAGCAGCGGCTTGCGGCGCGCCGGGGTCCTGGCCCCTGGCCGCCCTCTGCAGGGGAAGGGCTGGGGCGGGTTGGGGAAAGTTTCCTTTGCGGGGGCGGAGGCGGAGGATGAAGGACCTTGCAAAGTTTTGGGGGCTGGCTGGAAAACGGCATGGAGCATCAACTGCTGGGTGCGGGGCAGCCTGGGTCCCTCTCTTCTGTGGAGCACAGGGGTATGAAGCGTTGTCTGTCTAGATATACCCATCTAGCTATAGCTAGGTCTGTTTCTATAGCTGTATATCTATATTTATCTGGATCTACATAGATATTTCTATAGCTGTCTATCTGTAGATCTAGATATAGCTATCTATCTGGCTGCTAAACTAGGAAAAACATACCAACTCTTCATGGATTTGAAGCAGTCCATCAGGGTTTGTCAAGAAAAGCAGGAGTTGGAGGATTCTCTGTAGACCTTCCATTTCTTCCGGTTGGCACATGCAAACTGTCTGCTAACGCTTAGGCTATCAAGATCCACTCCGTGTTAAAATTATCTGGGAACTTACCTAGAATATGGTCTAAAACTGGTTTGGTGACCTTGATAAAAAAGCAAGCAAACGACTAAACTTTGGAAGTGACTACTGACATAAACTAACAGGTTATTTTTTTCCCCAAAAGATATCAGGCTATATTTTTAATACAGATTTGTGTATGTTATACATGCATCTAAAATCAGCTTTGGAAGAAGAAGGGTCTGTCTTTTCCAAAAAGTAAGGCGCCATTAAATGCTTTTAATCTGCAGTGGAGTTCTAGTTTGCAGTAGGACCCACGCATAATAAGCTGTTTCATGATGTAAATTGCCTCAGTGCATTACATGGATGCTATTTTCTGAGATTTTATTTGACATAAGGCTTTTCTTGAAAATATTACATTAGTGGGTATAGAAAAGATTATAAATACGTTAATACCAATACATATCATTCGGACTGTAACTTACCCAGGGAGTTTTGCTTTTGTGACTTATTTTATTATCTCAGGTACAGGAAATCTTGATGACATGAACAGCTTTAAAATTTCTACCTACTGGTAAATATACATAACACACACTCCTACCGCTCTTCTTTGGTCTAATTAAAAGTTGAATTACAGCTAACAAATTCCCTCCCTGTGTGCACACAAAAAATAGCCAATTTTGAGATTTACAGATGTGTTTGGTGGAATAGAGCAAATCTAATGCCTGTTTCAGAATCTTCCATTACACTCGGGTTTGTAGCATATTTGAAATGATGATGTTAGCTTGTGATGCAAAGCCATAAGGATAAGGAAAGGCAAAGCTGATCTTTGTTTAAACAGGCTGTGCTTTTTATTTAATTCTGCATGTTCATGACAGGAGTGGATAGTATCAGTGGAAAGAGGGTTAGAGTTCTGATCAAAGACACAGCCTTTTCTGACATCGAGGACATGGGTAGACAAAACCGGGGGCCCTAAATTGAAATGGTGGGTTTTTTAAAAACACTGCTTCAATTTAGGGCTGATTTAAACCCCTGTGTCATGTGCACACCTGACTTACCTGCCTCTCTGGTGGCGGGGAGGGCGAGGGAAATACCGGACCCCTGCACAGCTCAGTCAGGCTCGGTGGGGGGGGCAGTGGAGATCAGGCTTGCCACTTTTCTTGAGTGGAGCCTGCCTTCCCGGGCTGCTGCCAGGCTGCCTGCAAGGCTTCCTGCAGAGCTATGGAGCTGCACAGAGCCCAGTGCTTCGCTCTACGGCTGTAGGGGCAGCAAACTAAAACTCCTTGGAGGAGCTAAAATATATTAAAATGTCTGTTACTAGCCACGAAGCTTATAGATTTTTAGTTTATTGTCATTAATGTAAGTCCTTGGAGGAGTTTTAGTTTGCTGCGCCCCAAGTCATTTAAGGTGCATTATGCTGCTGAATTTCCCACAGCAGCTGGAATTAATGTGCAGTAGGCCACCATGGGGTGGTGGCCTACACCATTAAAGCGCCTACACCATTAAAGCAGCGCAAAAGCATTTAGCCTGCTTTAAATTGTTGTGTACACACACCCCTTGTTTCATCTACACACAGCCCAAGTCTTCTGCCTCTTGAGAAAAATAGTTCCCCAAATGTATTGTTTTATAGTCTTTTCTGTTGTAATGAACAGAAGGCTCAAATTAAAGGGTGATGTGTATGGTAATGATAAATGAAATTCCCTTACATGCACTGTATTGACATAGGCAGGAGTGTAAATTCGTGTAACTAGTTTAGGTTCTGTGACTGAAGTCTCCTGTTCTTCTAATGAGTATCCACCTACTTCTGCAGAGACCACCTCCAGAAGAGCCAAGTAGTTTGTTCTATACGTCTACTTACTCTGTGACTTCCTTGTTAAAACTGTCGACAAGTGTGGCAGTTACAAAGTGATGCGACACAAGGCATTACAATAGGACTACCAAATACCTACCACCTTCCAGTTGCATTGAACTGGGATTGATGCATTATACTGAATTGTATTTATTTATTGATTAGATTTAATTTTTGGTCACTACATGAAATAGCAAGAGAGTCTTTAATTTCTCTATGCGTAAATTGAGTGGGCGTAACTTTGTCTGAGAACAGGGTAATAATATACAAGACAATATAGATTTTTTTTTTTTAAATTAGTGTAGAGTTTTTGTTCTAACCCTGAATATTATTGATTACCTTTATCAGAAATTTATACTTTTTAAAATTTAAGATGGGAGTTGTGTTAGATTACTTCACTGTCCCCTCTTTAGTCTGTCTCCAGAAGCCTGTGTTTTGGGGATAATCTTCCAGTTAAAATACGCATGAATTCGGTGCTTGTGAAAGTGACAGCAATGAAAACTGATTCTTGTCTCTTCTTCTGTATAGAAATGATGCATTGTGGATGACAGCAAAGCTGTTTCTGCTAATGAGTATCCACCTGCTTCTGCAGTGACCACCACCTCTAAAGGAGTCAAGTACAGGTTTCCCTTGCTTTATGCGGGTTCTGTATGTGTGAATTCGCTCTTATGTGATGACCCTTTTTATACAAAAAATTCATTATATGCAAGATAAATTCACTGTTATGTGATCGGTGTGGTGGAAGCTTGCAGTCAGCTCCTTTGTGTGGTGCATTGTGGGAGTGACATGTACCAAAATATAGCCTACTGTGTGGATCTGTTCTCCTTGCTCACGGTTTGCAACATATGTTTCTGTAGTTGCCATCCCCATTATTGTAGCGCCCTGTGCTTGTGTGTACTGTTTGCTGTTGCTGAGTACCAACATTGTCTTGTAAAAGTGGTAGAAATGGGTCTGGGGTCTACATCTTGGAATGTATCCCTGTTAGTTACATTGTAAAGTGGATTCCCTTTACGTGAGTTCGAGCTATGCACTACTTTCCAGGAACGCACGTACAGCATAAAGCGAGGGAAACCTATAGTTTCTTTTTTATGTCTAGTTCCTCTGTTACTTCCTTGTTGAAACTGTCAGCAAGTGTGCTAGTTTCAAAGTGGTGTGACACAAAGAATTATGTTAGGAGTACCAAACAGCCATCACTTCACATAGTTACTTCCAGTTGCAACTGATCTAGGATTGAGTTGTTATACTGACCTTTATTTATTTATTTATTTATTTATTAACTTATTCCATGTGAAATACTTAATTTTTGGTCACTGAGTAAAATAGCGTTTAATCTTTTTGGGAGCAGTATCATGTCCCTAAAGGTTATTTGTCTACATTTGATTGTATTTAATTACACAAATGATTGTTAGCTTTGATATGATAAGGCTTGGTCAGAACATATATTAAAACGTCTCTCACTAGCCATGAAGCTTATCATAGATTTTTAGTTTATTGTCATTAATGACAAGATTAATGCAAATGTAATAAACATATTTTTTAAAGACATTTGTTCCTGATTCCTACCCCAAATGCAATGTATGTAATATATGCAGTCTATCTCCTCTTGTGGTCAATGAGTTTTACAACTCAGAACAGCTGGAAAAGTACTTTAAGTAGAGACCAATGGACCCTCGTATTTTGTGTAGCCTTGATTTCCCTTTGTTCTGTGCTGATAGGGTGTTTTCTCCAGCTCTGTACTCGCACTACACCCTTCTTCCAACCCTTTCCTTGCTTCTCTTTAAGCTCCTTACATTTTCTCTTCTCTTGTCTTTCCATGTAACTAATTCCTTTCTAACTCATCCCTCCCTCAAATTATGGAACTAATGTAATGTTTCTACCCTCACACCAACCAATCTACTTTTTCGTGTAGCTTTTTCCCCTTACCTTTTTTTCTATTAGGACTATGCACACTTTGCACAAGGACTCTCTAATGCTTGGTGTTTGCATATTTCCTAGCACAATGAGGCCTTGCTTTTGGTAGGTACTACCAGAACAATAATAATAAATAAAGAATGCCATTGACATCACCGGAGTCCTAAATACTTAATTCCCCTTGCTGCTCCTGTAGTAGTAACTAACAAATTCTTCTCACAGGGCTTGTTTTTTTGCACTGCTAGCTCCATTTTTAACTCGGGTTTTGTCCTTAACCTGAATCCTGTTCCGACACAAAAATCTGTAGTACAAATTAGGTGGTGACTTAGGCTCAACCTAGCTAACTGTTTGGGTCTCGAAGTGCTGGTGACACTCCAGTTCTTAATGAATCTGCCTGGGTTATAGCTAGAGCTGGGAGAAATGTTTCAGCCAAAAAATTTTTTTTTTGATGAAACGTACATTGAGCACTGTCTAATCATTTTGACATTTTGTTTTATTTTCACTGAGTTCATGAAGAAAAATAGCAAAATACAAGAAAGCCTGACTATTTTATTTTAAGTGTTTTTGATCCAGAAAGACTTTTTGATTTTTCCCCTCACTTTTGTGAAGAAAAATAAATGATCCAAAAATGCTCTTTTTGGGACTCAATGAAACCTTTTTGTTTAAATTTAAAATCAAAAGATTTTGGACTTTTTGAAGTGCCAGTGGATGTAAAAAAAAAAAAACCTAAATAAACAGATATTCACAAAGCTATAATTATTGCTTCTTGGGTGCATCTACACAAGATGTTTACTGTGGAGTT